TACTGCAAAGTAGTGTCAAAGTACTGCAAAGGAGTGGCAAAGTACTGCAAAATAGTGGCAAAGTACTGCAAAGTAAGTGGCAAAGTACTGCAGAGTTTTCTACTGTTTTCAAAGCTAGATTTATAATAGTACACATTACGCTAGATCAATGTTATACAATACTTCATATTTTAATTACAAATTATTTGTAAAAAACTTACTGGTACATATATTTTAAATTAAGTAGGTCGATTATGAATACCACATACAAAATAAGCCAGTCATTTTGGTTTACCCATAATGCAATGTATTCAACAATTGTGTTGTCCTAATAATTGGTATGTTATAATGAAATATTCAGCAAATATTTGGTTAACATACTCTGGTATCTGTATCTGTATATATTTATCATATACCCCACATTTTTAGCTTTGTACCTTGCAATCTATTGATATATTCAAACACTTTACTGTATGTACTCTTTGGGCTGAGTTTATGGTAAAAATAAATCATAATGGTCAAGCCCACAATTCGGTACTTGTGTGCTTTCTACTGAATATGTACATCAAATATAATCAGTGTAAAACAATAAATGGAAAGCATGAGAATTTTAGACCACTCCCCTCTATTGTACTCAAACCAATTGGTGATCACAATAAATAATATTTATACGACTCCTAGACCTTTTCATCCTGCTCAGCAGCGCCAAATTTTCTCTGTATAGGCAGAAATTGGAATTACGATACAATGTATGAACCATTAAAAAACAAATTGTGATCTCAACTTGCTATGCACATGAGAAAAAGAGGCAACAAATACATACGCAGCACGGTTCACATGACGTTATAGGTCATTGCAAAGGCCTGCCACCAGAAATGAAATACTTGTTAGGTTCTTTCGATTCCTGTAAGTAAAATTGTTTCAGTTTGAAAATGAATAAAAAAAACATGTCCTGTTGTCTCCAGCAATATTTGAAAGGTAAGCTCAGTCGATTACATGTGCGCTGATGTGCAATGATGAAAAACACTTGTTTGCACAATAGTTTGGCCATTTTGTTTCCAGTCTATTCATGAAAAACGGATTTTTAAATATGTTGTGTGCGTAAAATATGGTGCTAGAACCCTTGTTCTATCTAACATGAACACTTCAATCTGTGACTAATTATCTCTGTTAAAACTCTTACTGCTTCGGAGCTGGGATCGCTGTGGTGCATTCAGTAGTGAAATAACTTGCGTTTGAGAATCTCTGAATTCATTTCAATAATTTTACATTTGAAAATTTGAGTGACTCACACTGCTGAAACACTGTTACTAAATAAAAAACAGTATCTGTGGCTGAAAGTAACATTCACTGTGTATTTCAGTTTTTTTTTTCAGCACACAATGTATGTATGCTATTGAATAATGTGTCACTTGTTATAATACATAAAATAAAATAATGGGTACTTGTTATTTTGTGGGAGAGCAGGTGTAATTGTGCATGGTGGATGTCTGTTCGATGTGATGTTTGTTGTCTGTCCTTGGTCTGTTGGTCATGCCCATAATATTGATGATGTCGGAGCCAAAGGACATTTAACCTACTTAAAACATTGTCAAAATGTCAAATTAATTACAATGTATTTGATTCAAAACATTTGTCTCTATATATTTGGTTCAAAATCAAGATTGAATTTGGTGAAAATTCACTCTAGTTTGAGTGGAAAAAAAAAATTGACACTCAAAGGTTTAATCTGTGTTATGTGCCAATTTTGCTTACTATTTACATAGCCCCTATTATTTGAGGCTATTTGAGAAGAAATACAAGGAAAATACCATAGTATTAAACACCACATACAACACTGTTTTGTGCTACCATATGTAGTGTGTCCCTGAACAAGGGTGCATTGCTCTCTCGTAAATTTTGTTTGCTTTCTTGTGGTAACAAATAATAATTTAACTAATTTATTTCATTTTTGTTTTCTTTTTAATGAAAGCCCAGAAATGAGTTATATGCATTTCATACCACAAGTATTGCAACTGTATTTTCTTATTGCTCACAAAATCCTGGGGAGAACGTAGACCTGAACAATACAAAACCATAGATACTGATTTGCATAGTAAGTTTCAGGTAATGCATGTGTTATTATTTATTGTTAACTGCTTAAAATTCAGCAGACAAACGAGTCTCTGCAAATATTGGCGAAGTGCTGGCAAAGTGCTGACAACATATCTAGCAACAAATAACGGTTTACGATATAAAATACTAATTGTAAAACAATGACTTGTAGCCTAATTATGAAAGAACAACTGATTTAAATATTTAAATGAAATTCTGCCGACTTGTGTGACCTGAGCATGAAAACAAAAAGACTTAAGTGGTCTAGTTTCAAAATTATACAATAGTGACTGTTAGCTTAGTTTGCCAATTTATGAAAGTATTCAGGTCACAGAAAACCATTTATGAAAGTAGTCGGTCACAGAAAACCATTTATGAAAGTAGTCGGTCACAGAAAACCATTTATGAAAGTAGTCGGTCACAGAAAACCATTTATGAAAGTAGTCGGTCACAGAAAACCATTTATGAAAGTAGTCGGTCACAGAAAACCATTTAAAAAATCTTCTTAAGTATTGCAAATCTAAAAACCTGAAGGCTGTTTTAATACAATAGCAAAATTTCTGACAGACATAATTTCAATTAAAAAATACCGGTAAGACTGTTTGAGGTAAATGAGCACTTTTACATGAAATCATGCTTCATTTACTCAGTTTTAAGTAAATTACAAGTTCATTATTCGGTGTTCCATTTTCGACATCTCTGCACCGATTTCTCCCATATTTTGTAAATTTTATGATACTGATCCTGATTATTCCGTGGTTGAAATACTCTCATACTTTCTCTGAGATTTTTAAGTTCTTCCTTGTCCTTCCAGATACCTGTTGAATAAAACCAACAATTATTTTTTACTCTTATGCATGAAGCGGACAATCTTTTCGACTGATATCTCAAGAACCAATCGTCAGATTCCAATAAAACTTGGTACATATATCATATGATCTATGAAAATGCACACACCTGAACAATACAAACTAAGTGATTCCAAATGATAAGCACATTGGGGGAACCTTACACTTCTAGCAATTCCAAATGGTAAACAGAAGCACCTTGGAGGATACAAACATACAAACTCACCACACCACTATCAACACCACACAAAGTCACTCTAAATGACATGAATAAATGTGGCAGAAAGCCACACAAGGTCTGGCTGATGAACATCAAAGCAACAATCTAGTTTTTGAGGGGTAGTTTTGAACGAAAATTATTTATTAAATTTTGAAAATCACAGATATCGGCATACAATATATTAATCAGAACTGACAAGGGAGCAAAGTGACTCATAAGATACATGACACTCTGAAAGTTACCTGTCTGAAGACCTGCTAAAAAAGCCGCTCCTAGACACGTGGTGTCTAAATTCTTGGCTTTATCAACCGGTTTATTTGTTAAATCAGCAACAAGTTGAACCACAAAGTCATTATTAGCAACGCCACCATCTATCCTGTCAGAATGAAATCAAAAACATTTGTTCCAGTTTGTTTAACAATATTTTACAGCATTGTTCCCGATTAACATGATTATCACATTTCCTGCTGACTTCTTTTTCCCATTGATTTTGGTAAGTCTGTGAATGCTTTAAGCATTACTAAAGTATAAAACTGTTCCTTCAATTAAACAAACAAAAAATAAGTACATAAAGGATAAAATCTGTGATAAGGTAACTGGTCTGGCAGTCATATTTACAATTCTTTTTCAAGAACTAGAACCAATTTGTTAACCTAACACATTAGACTATATTATTGAATATTAAAAAAACTATTTTTTTTTTTTACAAACAGGAATTTCTAAACCACACACTTACACATATACTGGTCCATCAGTGTGTGTGGAAGATTTTAAATAACATTGCTTCACTGTTTGAACTACATCTGCCCTAATACGTAAAATATATCTTGCATATTTTAGCGCCCTCAATATAGTAATTAAAGTCTACATAGATCTTTTGTTTTCATAATACTTCATACATACATCTTACAACTTGGGATACAAATACATTATGTGAGCTGATTCAATATGTCCGAGAGAAAATCATTTTAGTGCTAAAAATTTATCAAAATCAAGCATTTTTGTCATTCCGAAAATAGATCCCAGTCTTGCATAGACAGATTTTTTTTGAACACATTACATTTAATGAATATAATAGAACCTTGGTCACATCATTTTGTTTTTTAAATTGGATTCAAAATTGACCATCTGGCAGCCATTTTGTTCCAGAGACATCACTAACATGCCTTGACTAATCATGTATAAACTTCTCTAATTCATCGTGTCACACTTGTTTCACAATTTAATGAAAGATGCTCAAATGGTATTTATTTTAAAACTAATAATACATCAAAATCAAGTATTCTCGCCATTCCCAAACCAGTTCAAATCAAGTTACTGGTATACATCAGTCAAGTTCCGATTCAAAATGGCTGTTTTGTTTACTATTTACGCAGGAAACTGTACGTCAATGAAGTCTGAAGAAGAAGCTCTAAAATTATTTTGTTAAAGTGACATGATCCAACTTACTTGATGTAACTTGACATAGGGTGTTTAAGTTCCGCCATTGCAGTGTCGTAGAGCTGCTTGAATCTACAATGGTAACAAAAGTATAATGATATTGTAACATGAACTACAATTTGTACGATGCTTGACCCCGTTCAGGTTGGCAATGAATGCAATCCTCTCCATTTTGAAAAACAACTTTTTGCAAGGAGTGGCATGCTTGTATTTCAAACTGTTTTAGTTACCAGGACAACCAAACCACAAACCTAAATTTGTGAATGACGAAATTTTAGACAAAACCAGTCACTTTTGAAATGGCGGGCTGACACACTATTACTGGCAATACCAGTCTATCAACTTCATTTTGGAACCTTTCAAATTCTTTGATTAATGTTGTTACTATTTCATTTTAAAAACAAGACAAAACACTCATATACTGTCTTTTTAAATTGTGGCTACTTGACTCATTGGTTCCATTATGCATAAAACAA